GTTCAGCCACCTTCACCACCACGCCATCTGACTGGCCTTAGTGTGCCATGTCTTTTAACTCATGCATTTGGGAGGACTTTTACAAAATGTGGCAGATTTAGTCATTTGGGGGAAGAGCTGACATTTGAGAACACTATGAAAGTAAATGTGTTTGGGGGAAGTATATCAAATATTGAAACAGAATACACTAGGATTTTAGGAATATTTTGCTCTATCTGCAAACAAAAACTTTGTAAAATGTGCCCTTTTTTGGAAGAAGAGAAATCTTACAATGTGATGTAGTTCAATAGTGCATATTATCCTATTTTGGATCATCTTTCAGTTTCCTTTAAGTACTTTTTGGTAATTTGTCATTTTTTTGTGAACCAGTTAAAAGAGCATGCTAAGTTATAGCATATGGGAAATGATGTAACGTTTATCATTTTACCTCAGGACATTTCCAATGTCACAGCACTTTAGTGAGCAATACCAAGCCACTATTATGTCTGCATTTATGGCGCCAGGGTTTTCAGGAAGTAATTGTTACTCTTTGGTACTGAAGTGAAACTATAGTTGCAATATACATAATAATTTCAGACTTGCTCAGTTTCCTTATCAGTGTCTGGTAAGTAAAATTTGTGGAGAAGATAAGCAACCAACATTGCATCATCCCTCTCCTCCTCAAAACAACAACAAACCCAGTTATGTGTGAGTGTGGACTGTGGATAATCCACAGAATGGTTAACCACATCACAGAGGTTTATATTTGTTGGCCGTGAAAATCTTGGAGAAACAGATGTAACACGGTATTAGTTCTATAAGGCTAATTAGGTACTGCCCTCGATAGTCAAAAACAATTCAATGTGATCTTTACCTTTTTCCTGGCAGTGCTATCCAAAATACTGTTGGAAAGCTCCTCTTGGTTTTTGGCATGTCAAGTTCCAAATACTGGCTAGAATCTAGCCTGCAGTATTCTTTGCTAAACCACTTCTTCCTGATCTTCCTATTCTTGTCAGTAGCAGCGCTATTCTTTTAAACCTTAAAAGCTTAGCCTTCTTAAAAAAAAAAAAAAAAAAAAAAAACTTACTTTCTGGGGAGCCAGCAGGTGGCGTGGTGGTTAGGGCACCTGGATTCCTGCATGGCCGAGCATGGTTCGAGTTCTGGATCTGGTGGCTTGCTTTCTCACTTTCCCCCTCTCTCTCTCACTCTGTCCTTCTCTGGTCAAATTAAAATTAAATTAAATTAATAAAGTTAACTAAAATAATTCTTAAAAAAACCACTTTTTAAAAGGTTCATTTATTGCCCCCATAGTGAGAGAGAGAATGACAGCTCCCTCAATAGGGTCGGGATGTCACAGTCCTGCCCCTTCAGTCAGCTCCCGATCATGGGCCACCTGTGTGTGCCCTGTGTATTCAGGGAGGTCTCCAGATGCAAATCTGTAACCTTGCCATGTGGGTCAGTCCCGCAGTGTCACGTGTCACCACTGCACCACCATCTGATCCCCAAGTTTTTTTTTTTTAATTCCCTTTTCTACTTCCACTTCAGATTTAAATCCTTAGTGTTTTCCTTATTTATTTATTTATTTATTTATTTATTTTTTAGAGATTTTTGCTACAGAGCACGTGCACTCGCTGGAGAGACAGAAAACAAGAAATCACTCTGCAAGGGGTGGTCATGCTGCAATCCCTTCTCCGTTCTTCTCGGGATTTTGGGCACTCACTCACACATGCCCCGTGTAAGATTCAAGCTGCCAGGTCGTGGATTTGAACTGTATTCGACCATGTGAGAGTCCAGTGCCTCAACCATTGTGCCACCTTCTGGCCTCCTTAGGGTTTTCCTTGATTTTGTTCCTTAGCTTGAACCTTCACACTTAATTGATTACTAATTTTTTTTGTTTCTTTTTGTTACGGGGTACTTCTCATGTTTCTGTTCTATTACCACCTTAATTTAGCCCCACCTCGGGGTGGTCATGCTGCAATCCCTTCTCCGTTCTAATCTCTTTTTTTTTTTTTTTTTTTTTTTTTGAGAGATTTTCACTGTAGGGCGCGTGCGCTCGCCAGACAGACAGAGAGAGACATAGAGACAGAAAGCGAGAAATTTCCCCCCTGGAGACATAGAGACAGAAAGCGAGAAATCACCCCCCAGGGGGGATGGTCACGCCGCAATCCCTTCTCCTCCATTCTCCTCTCGGGATCTTGGGCACGCACGCACACGCGCCCGGCGTGAGTTTTAAGCCACCGGGTCCGGGACACGAACCACGGTCAACTACGTGAGAGTCCAGCGACATAGCTGTTACGCTACCTGCTGGTTCCCTAAAAAATCTTTTTTTGAGAGCACTTTAGGTTCACAATAAAATTGAGAAGAAGATAGAGAAGATAAAAACTTCCCATAAGCCCCCTTCTCTCACACACTCGTAGCCTCATCTGGTATGAAAATCCACCTCAGAATGGGATATTTGTTAGAACTGATGAACCTGCGTAGATGCACCATTATCAGTCCACATCCCTGCTTTACATTAGGGTTCACTGTTGGTGGTGCACGTTCAGTGTAACCCACTTGACTATTTTTAGTGTTACCGCCCTTGTTTTAAGGGTCTTACTCAAGAAATCTATGTCTACTGCAATATCTTGAAGTGTCCTTCCAGTGTTTCCCTCCAATAGTTTTAGGGTTTGGGGTTTTACGTTTAAGACTTTAACCCATTTATTAATTTTTATAAATGATGAGAATTGAAGTCTAATCTTATTTTTCTGCAAGTGGATATACAGTTTTCTCATCACCATTTATTGAAAGACTTCCTTTTCTCTACTGGCTTATCTTGTGACCTTTGGCAAAAATCAGTAAGCTGTATGTTACTGAGTTTATTTCTGTCCCATATTTTGTGCCAATAGTATGTTGTTTTGGTTTTGTAATATATTTTGAACTCAAGTAGTAAGATGCCTCCAATTTCACTCTTTTTTTATAATATTGCTTTGAAATACTATTTGATTTTATGATTTTTTTATTTTTAAAAAAAATTTTATGATTTGTTTCCCCATTTATCTGAAGAATGCTGTTGGAATTTTAGTAGGCATTGTATTGAATTTGTAAATCTCTTTGGGTAGTATTGACATTTTATTTATGTTGAGTCTTCCAATCCATGAATAATGAATACATTTCCATTCTTTTGTGTCTCTTTAAATTTATTAAGTTTTTTTTAAATAGTTTTCATAGTAGAGACCTTTCACTGCTTCAGTTACATTTATTCCTGGTGTGTGTGTGTGTGTGTGTGTGTGTGTGTGTGTGCAGCTAGGGTAAATGGAATTGATGTCTTCATTTATTTTCTGCCTCAGTTCATTCATTGGTAGAGTACAAAAGTAGGATTTTTTGTATGTTACTTTGTATCCCAAAAGTTAGCCGAATTTATCACCTCTTGAGAATTTTTTTTGATGGATTCTTCAGGTCTTTTTATATAATTGAGTCATTCACAAATAGGAGTAATTTTAAAAATAATAATAATTATTTTTATTTGTTATTATTTTTCCATTTGTTATAGGACACGTGCTCACTAGAGACAGACAGAGAGAGAGAAAATGGGAAAGCAAGCCACCAGGTCCAGGACTTGAACTGTGGTCAGCCATGTGGGAGTTTAGCACCTCAACCATCATGCCACAACTATGTGGGAGTCCAGCAACATAACCATTATACCATCTGCTGGTCTCTGGAATTTTTGTTTTTAAAGATGCTTTTTAGGGTTGGCCCGGTAGTGTAGCGATTGGGCACTGGACATATGGAATCAGATCCTGCATGACTGTCTACGGTTCATCTACAGTTCAGGTCCTAGTCCTGGCTGCTTGAGAGATACTCTGGGTGCATGTTCATGCTTGCCCCAAGTCCTGATAAGATGATGAATTGGAGGAAGAAGGGATTTCAGCACAGCCATGCCTTATTTGAGAATGCTTTCTCTCTCTTTCTCTCTCTTGTAAGTGCATGCACTCTTGGCAACTACATACTGCAAAGACATATCTGATCAAATGCACAATATTTTCAATTTTCAAATGTACATGTGCTATATAAAGAGTGCTTATATCAGTCAAGGTTTTTAGTTACATGCAGAGACATCAACTGTCCAACTTAGAAAAGAAATTTAATTGGTAGTTAAGGCATCCACAGGAAGAGCAGAGAATAGGGCTTGGAGAATACAGAGCTAGGTGGCAGGAAGGCCTAGCCAAACATCTGCTACAGGAACATGTTAGCAAACCACTTTCTATAACCGCTGTGGCTGCCACTTTCAATAGTGTCCTTACTGATAGCATCTTCGTGGTGTCAGCTGGATTCAAAGTCTAGGAGGAAAGGCCTGACTGAGTTCTTGTTCTGGCTGCAGGGCAGGATCTGGCCCTTTTCTTTCTCTTTTTGGCCTCCCTCCAAGACATACCTAGTAAGTACAAGTGCCCTAAGTAAGAGGGTTTGGGCTAGGAAGATTCCCACCACCCACTACGAAAGACCAAATAGCTGTCTTTCACAACTACCCATTAAAGTGTGTTTCTAAACAATTCTGCTCATTGATTGGTAGCTGTGTGCTTCTTGAAATATAAGGTAAAATTGTTAAAGGCATCCCAAATGTCCTAGAAACTAGTAAATGTTTCTGATTGAATAAAGGTTGTGATAGCTCATTAGAGAAAAATTATTTTGATGCTTTTCAAAGTAAATTTCTTAGTTATGCCTAAATTTAATAGTACAGGCATGACTAAAGACATGGATTAGAGAGCTAGCAGATGGTGTAGTGGTTATGTCGCTGGACTCCCACGTGGCCGACTGCAGTTTGAGTCCCAGACCCACTGGCTTGAAAATCACACTGGGCCTGCGTGCGCATGTGCCCAAGATCCTAGGAGAAGAATGGAGGACCAGAGATTGTGGCATGGCCATCCCCCTGGGGTGTTATTTCTCACTTTCCCTCTCACTGTCTCTCTCTCTCTCTTCCCCCTTGAGCTCATTTTTTTTAAAGTAACAATCACACGAAGTAAAGGTAATTATATAATATGCATATATATTTTATTTTACAGCATTTTTCTTTGGTAGACAAAGACACTTATATTTAAAACATGTCTATGATATCATTATAATTTACAAGAATAGATCCTACCAAAAAGTACAGTAAAGAGACGTATTTTAATTGTTTTGAAACATCACAAATGAAAAAAGTTGAAAAAAGTCAAATTACTCCCAGTGCTACTGACTCACTTATGAAGTACTTGCACTCTTACCAGTTTCCCTTAGCTTATCATTTTTATCACAGTACATTTTATGAAATACAATCATCTATAAAACAAAATGATGCATAAAAACGTCCTTCCCAGACATGCTTGTATTGCATGTTATTGGAGAAAGAAACACGTATTTAGGTGAAAAATTATTTTAAGTGTTTCATGTAATGTAGAAGCTTTTGACTCATACAAGGCTTGACTCCACTCATGTTAATGTTTCCCTTGTAACCACCGCTAGGCCTACGGACTTTAGATCAAGACACTCGACTTCGAGTGGCAGGAATGTTTTCATAGTCACGGTAGAATGGTGATAAGCACCAGATGTCCTTGAAATCTCTCTGACCCAGAAGTGCTTGAATATTTATTGCGGGAGGCAGGAGAAAGCCGGTTTCCTATGGCAGGATTTTCACTTTAGTAGTCATAGTGAAACTTGTTCTAGGTTTTCAAATCATCTCTCCCAGGACTTTATACATTTTGATGGTTTAAAAATTTCTTTCTTCCGAATTCCTGTAATGGGAAAACGTGTGTTTGATTTACGTGGGCTGTTCTTGTTTTCACAGTGATTAAGTGTTGACATGTAAAAACATCCGGGAGGAAAGGGAAGCTGACCGAGGACCCCCTTCACAGAATACTTGACAAGGGAACAGCATAATCTTTCTGCACTATTTTATTCTTTTTTTTTTCAAAGGCAATAATAAATATATTTACTAAGACAGAATGCAACACAGAAGTCATTCGGTAACCTACCTTAATTATAAGTCTTGCTTGCTTCGAGTTAGGATTCAAGCATCGCTGTACTTTTGGTGCTTTGAGGGTAATTCTGTTAAGGGAAAATCCAAAAATCTTAAACTTGGGGATGGAAAAGCATAGAACAAAATTTTTTAAAAAATACCTTCACAATAGTCCTCCCTAGCAAGTCTGTTACTTACATCACTTCTGTTTTGTCACAGTTGTTACTTGGGTAGATTATGGAGACTTTCCCAATATTCGCCACTCTCACTGCCTTTACTCCAGGATTTATGCAAAGACAACGTCCTCCTTTGAACATGGGGAACCCTAGAACAGATGATAGTGTGCGTTAGTGAGGCATCCGATGACAGCACACGCCTGCGGTGCTCAGTCCTGGTGAAGGATGTGAGCCTCGTTTTCATGAAGGATAAGGAAAGGCATTTGTTAAACAGCACTGACCCCCGGTACTGGGAAGGAAGTTAAGTAAGATGTTGATGATTTTTGTTACATCTGTAGCACACCAATAAAAGAATAAAAGGAAGCAGGTGGAAGGTGACTGCAGGTGAAGGTTGTTTGCGGCTTGCTTTGATACTCAAGAAATTGTGCCAGAAGCTGCCAGCATTATCCTGTACACAGTATTCACAGACTTTGAGACTCCTGCTAAAGGCTCTTTCTGGATACTGTAGCCAAGTCAGAATTTCCTGAAGTTTATCATCCTTCATTTCAATCATCATCTATAGCACCTTAAACATTTTCAGCATTCTCTGTCAAAGCTGTCTGAAGTTACATAAAAATGTACTAAACCTGTTAGGATAGAAGTAGAAGAAAAGACGTTTGAAACGTCAGAAAGAGAGTTGATGGAGGAGAAAGAACCATGTACCTTGAACAGCTGCAGTGCAGAGTATCACCCCCAAGGCTATAGCCATGCACTTCACGCTCATGTCTGTTTCTTGCTGCTGCAGCTTCGATAGTCTCGTTGGAGGCAATAGAAATGCTGAGCTTGAAGGACATTCTCAACTGGTAGAGGGAGAGCCTTTTATACACCACCAATCCTCTTATGCTGGCAGGAATTTCCCTTCTTGAGTCATATTCCTTTCTTCCAAGAGTTTCTGTTTTACTATTGTCCAAATGTCACTGTCTCTTCCTACTTATTGTAATGTTGAATGTGAAAGCACTCGGTAAAGTGTTGTATAAATGTAGGATGGGGTATACCAGCTGTAAATCTGCCCTTCCTTTTTTAGATATCTTTTATTTTTTATTTTTTTACATTCAATCACTATATATCATTAGAACATAAGGAATGAGTTTCCCAGATTAGTATACTGCATATTAGTGCAGTCAGATACTACCATACACATTATCATCAACAGATCATTTTCCATTTTTGTGTCCCTTAAAGGTTTTGCTTCTTTTTCCCCTCGGTTGCTTCCCTCTCATCCTCCCCCATTTCCTATCCTCCTCCCACACTGTCTCTAGTGTTCACAGTTGTTCTCCATGCCTTTTTTGAAGAGAGATTTTTGTTATAGGGCATGTGCACTCACTGGAGAGACAGAGACAGAAAGCAAGAATTCACTCCGGGGGCGGGGGGTGCCATGCTGCAATTCCTTCTCTTCCATTCTGCTCCCAGGATTTTGGGGCATGTACGCACATGTGCCTAGAGAGAGTTTTAAGCTGCTGGGTCTGGGACTCAAACCACGGTCAGCAACGTGGGAGTCCAGCAATGTAACCATTGTGCCATCAGCTAGTCCCAGTTCTCCATGCTTTTATATCTTCCAGTCTTTCAGTTCCTACCATAGAATGCAGGCATTCATAATGTTGGGTTGTTGGAAAAGTCGTGATGCATTTTTGCATAGAAAAACAGAAAAATAATGTCATGATTTTCTCAACCTAATATATTGAATGAATCAGTCTTCTGAAGGTAGTTTTTCGTAAAAATTCATTTAATTTTGGGCTGCTCTGGGCAGTGGAACTCCAATTGCCATTTATTCAGGAAGACCATCTTCCTGTTTTTAGTCCTTTCATCGTATGACCTTCACACAACTATACAAAGGAATGCTGTTGTTTTAATTGGAGAGGTTTTTGTTATACTGCGTATGTGCTTGCCAGAAAGAGAGAGACAGACAGACAGACAGAAAGTGAGAAATCACCACCCCACCACCCCCAGGGGTGATGACCATGCTGCAATCCCTTCTCCTCCATTCTCCTCTCGGGATCTTGGGCACACACACACATGTGCCCAGCGTGAGTTTAAGCCACCAGGTCTAGGACTTGAACTGCAGTCGACTACATAGGAGTCCAGTGACATAGCCATTATGCCATCTGCTGGTCCCCTAAAAATAAACTTTAAAAAATTCCCTATTTTCTTTCATTCTTTTTACTAAGTCATTATATCTCACTACTCTTTCTTGTTAATTAAATGAAAAAAAAATTAAACTACATTCTCTGTCTCTTTAGTAGTATTGGTCTGTTTTGTTATGTTGTTTGTGGGATTGGACTATTTTCTGCTTTACATTTCCAGGTTCACTCACTCAAATAAGGCTTTCCTTGAGTTTAAAGGAGTGTCCCAAGGAATGAATCTAGTTTCCATAATTAATAACCGAAGTCCCTTCCAGCTTAAAAACTCTGTAATCTGTGATTCATTTGAACTTTTAGCAATACTCCAAAATTATCCAGTTAATGTAGAATTTGCAATGTTTTCAAGTTTAAGGAGATCAATGCAAGATACTTCTCAATTTACAATTCACTAGGTCTCTGAGTAACGTATTCCATGCAAAAAAAAAAAAGGCAATATCAAGGATATAGTTCATTCAGTTAAATTAGTGAAAAGTGGCTTATGAAACCAGCATTTCCATTTATTATACATCGGTATGAAGAACAGAGTCCGGTTCTGAGTTTATAGAAGGCAGCTGACTCAGTCCTCAGGAAGCGGTTGCCAGATACGTGATAGACACCTAAAGTCACGAGAATGGACTGAAAGGCGGACGTAAAATCCTGAACTCTCGAAAGGATGGAAGAACATTATCTGATGCTCTTTTTATAGAGGGATCAGAGCACTGAGCGAGCTACCAGTGGATTGGGGGGAGTACCCATCACAGAATACTGCTTCTAGGATTTTTCTTACAACATTTATTAAAATACTTATTCCAGAAATCAGACGAATTCTCCAGGCTATCTTCAATGCAGCTATTAGCACAGGGCAAGGCTATGTTTTTTTCTGCAAACTTGTAATACATTCTATAAACAGAAAAAAAAAATCAGTAAGGCATTGAGGGAGGGAGCATATGTTACTGTGATTGGAGAGAGTTCCAGAATGACGGTGAATTGTAAGGATGTTTCTCAGTCTCTGCTTGATCTCTTTCTGGGACTTTGACCTAAGGACACATTTTCAAAAGCTGTATTCTGCTAATGCAATCGGGCATTTGTGTTGTCTGGTGCAAGGACAGCTTCATCCTTGACGTGTGCTATCTAAATATTGCAATCTCAAGTGCGTGCATGGAAGAAGGACCCATTTTAAGTGACCGTCATCACCATACTGACCTTCCCATATTCAAGAGCCACGTGTAGCCTTTTCTTGTCTTAAATCAGAAGGAATGGAATCAGTACCTTGGCACACGTTGTATGAAAGGTTACCGAACTCTCTTTCTCTCTCTCTTTCTCTTCTTTTTTTCCTTTCCTTTCCTTTCCTTCCCTTTCCTTTCCTTCCCTTCCCTTCCCTTCCCTTCTCTTCTCTTCTCTTTTCTTTTCTTTTCTTTTCTTTTCTTTTCTTTTTGCCTGTCAGACACATGTGCTTGTGGAAGAGACAGACACACACAAACAGAGGGAGGGAAAGTGAAGAGAGTGAGGGCTTGGTCATACTGCAATTCTTTTCCCTCCCATTGTCCATCTTGCCAAGATCCTGGCATGCTGGCATTGCTGGTGTATTTCTCACTGGGGCTGAGACTCGAAACCTGGTCAACCATGCGGGATCCAGTTTCGGTGTAGTGTTTAACTGCTGTACTGTGAGGCCAGCCTAGATCATTGGACTGTGAATGGAATTTCTGGTTAGGGGAGAGGCAGTGTTCGACATGTGAAAGATGCATTGTGCCTTTTAGGTTCAGTGACCGAAGATCTGAAAAATAGTTACAGACGGTTTAATTCCTTTGCTTTCTAACTGTGTCCATTCCTGTCAATGAGATACAGGCTGTCTGCATCTTGTTCCTGGAGTCGGACGGTTTCTCATCAGCCTCATTAAATTTATTGCACAGGAGAGGGTTTTCTGAGATGTGTAAGCAGGAGACGATTCATGAAACTGGATCTCTTTCCTTTTCTTGGAAATTGTTGAAAAGTTCTATCTACCTTTCCTCTTCTGCAAGGAAAACTTAATGTTTCATTCCCTTTTTGGAAGAAGAATTATCAAATAATAGCCATTACTTTTTTTTTAACATTGCTTTTTTTTTTAACCTGGCAAAGCACAGTATATAAATATTGTTTGATTTATCAGTAATCACATCTTTTTGCTTTGGAGTATTTCCTTTCACCAAGTCTACTGCCAAGCTACCTTGATTAGCGTATCATTGACAAGTGTCAAAGAAAACCCACTTGTTTTCACAGTAATTCCGAAGGAAAAAAAAGAACATGAATTTGAAACCTAATTTATTTTCTTTAGAATTCTAGGCCAGATTTTAAAAACATGTATGTTAAAATTTGGAACACAGAAGAAAAAATGATGAAGGTCTGTCCCCTTCATTGAATAGACCGTTTTGTGTGTCTTCTCTGCGCCTCACAGAACGTTTGCTGTCACTTGCATGTGTTTGAGCCAGGAGCTGCGGGTTGTACAAAACAACTTATACATCGCCATAAACTTTAGACAAATTATTTTCCTCACAACAAAGGCAGCTCTGTGCATGGCCTTCAGTTGGCCGCCTAGAAAATGACTGCTGTCAACATCTTCCAGGTCAATGTAGATGTTCATGTTAATTTTCCACACTGGAAAACAACATGCCTATTGTTAGGGGACAGAAACATGTGAGAGATTAGCAATGAACAGCTTGATGAACAACTAACCAAAGGAAGTTTGATTCCGTAGGAAGGAGAAAATTACACACAAGCTCTATTTATCATTAGTTTATTGCCTCTGCCTCTCAAGAGCTGGAGGGGAGCAGAAAATTCATCTGCTGATAGTATTTCAGGGCTCATTGGAAAGAGTAATGCACAAAAGGATCTTGTTTGGAGAGATGAGGCCTGCACGTGAATGTTAGAAAAGCCATGTCTGCAAGGTATGGTGAAACTGCATTGGATTTATTTGTGTTTGTTTTAATAGAATATATGCAAAAATGACCATTTGTAAGGAGTATTTCAATACATCTGGTTTGCCAGTTTGAATTAAAGGTTAACTAAACTTAAGGTTTTAAATAGGAAATACAGGCAAAAATGTTAAAAGGGACTAGCAGATGGTGAAATGGTTATGTCGCTGAACTCCCATGTAACTGACTGCGGTTTGAGTCCTGGATCCAGTGGCTTAAAAATCACACCGGGTATGTGTGCGAGTGTGCTCAAGATCCCAGGAGGAGAATGGAGGAGAAGGGATTGAGGTGTGACCATCCTGCTGGGGAGTGGTTTTTGCTTTCTGTCTATCTCTCTGGCAAGTACATATACCCTTTAGCAAAAATTTCTCAAAAAAAAAAAAACAAAAAACCAAAACAACAAAAAGTTAAAAAATGGCAAAGAACTAGAAGGACATTTTTGTTGCAGATATTTTATTTCTTATACTGTTTTGATAGTTAAGTGACCTTCTTTTGGATTCAAAACAAGAACAATAAAACATTTAGACTTTTTTTTTTTCTTTGAGAGATATTTTTGCTACAGGGCATATGTGCTTGCCAGAGAGACAGAGACAGAGAGAAAGCGAGAAATCACCCCCTTGGGGGATGACCATGCCACAGTCCCTTCTCCTCTTCTTTCCTCTCGGGATTCTGGGCATGCACGCACACATGCCTGGTGTGAATTTCAAGCTGCTGTCTAGGCCCTGAACCACGGTTGGTCATGTGGGAG